AGCAGGAATAAGCTAGTTTGCTGGTGTGTGTTGCTCATGTTTCATATTTTAGCTAACAGACTTGGAATAAAACTCTTAAGAGTGCATTCCCCCTTCGATGCACATGTGTAGTTCCTTCTAACTTACACCGAAAGTACATGGTAGAATAAACTATCTAGTGCAAACACTGCATAGCCCATGCTGATGGCTTATGCAGCTTCTGGTTATTTGCACAAGATTTTTTTTACCACGTTCCACATGGAAATGATGTGAGGAGAAGGAAAAGCACATGTTCTCCCTTTGATTTTTTTACCTGACACAAAATACTCTACTCATAAAAAATACCGCGGGGATGCCCTCTTTTGGGCAGTAATTTTGTTTAGTGCTGTGATTTATTGTGGCTGTGAAAGTACCACAGCATCTATAAGTGAATTTAAATACACATTTTCAAGATCTTATTACAGAGAGCAAGAATAATCTCTATCTGCTTTTACTGCTAACAATTGCTAATTCAAACCATGCAGTGCCCCATTTGTTGAATTATTACTGTACACATAGTGTAATCATACATTGTTGTAAAAGGGGGAACCCTTCATAAAAGCTGTCAACTTGTGAAGTATATGTAATATATATTACAATCATGATGTTAAATACATGAAACAAACAGCTGAGTGTCAAAATAATCTATCTTTACAGGGAAACACAGTACAAACTTTGTTAGCCGATACGATCCCAGGTTTAACAGCTGGATACAACTTCCACCCATGCAAGAGAGGTAAAAACCTGCTACGTGTTTTTCAATATATGTTTTATCATCCTAGGAGCAGCTGAAGTTTGGCTTAGTTCTGGGAGTAAGGAGGCCTAAAGAAGCAGTGAAAAAACTGCAGCATGCAGTTGCTTCCCATTTGTCTCCTAATTTTTTTAAACTTTCCAAATTCAAAACTCCAGATGCCAAATCCTGCAGGACTAACTCATGCAAAATAACCGTGGACTTTGTGCAATTACTGGTTGCCTGAGTACGGTCTGAAGGCTTTTTCTGAAGTCTTCATAGTGTCTTGGCATGTTCCCTGACTGAAGTGTCATGATGAGTTTGCAGTAAACAAGCAGTAATTATAGTCAGATATCTTATAGGGAACTGAAACCTTCACATGTTGATTCCGTCCTGTTTCACCATGCCAGACCTGAAAAGCTCTCCTCGACATGTCTTTACCTTGTCAGAGGATTCTTAATCCTAGGTGGTCTTTGAGTGAAGTTGCTGTCAGCTAATGCATATTACAGTAGCATACATTTTAATCCTAACTGTGTACCAAAGAGCAGAGGTGCATGTAGACCTGAGCAATGACTGGTAAAGATGGTGTAAACTTAACTCTGGATCCCAAATCCTACCTTGGCAGGTAAAAAGTCCCCCAAACCTGAACCAAATGATGCATGTTTCCTAAGAAGAATCTCAGAGGCAGAAGATCCAATGTGATAATGTTGTTTTATGAAAGAGCATTCAATGTCCATCCTTTAGTCCAACATCCATCTTCTCATGGATCCAGTGTACAAGAGATCTCACGCCACCTTCCTAAGACACTTTCCTTATTCCATGTGCTGTCAGTATTACAGCTTTTTTCTCTTGGCTGCCCCCAGTGTTCAGGTGTCTGGCAGTCATAAATGTATTGAACTCAGTGCAACCTTGCGATTCAAGGTGCGTATTACGACATGCATGGAAACATGTCTCTCCTTTCAAATTTTCAGAGGTAAAATGTCCGTCTGCAGAGTTTTTGAGGGTCTTTGTTCAGGATTCAGTTTGATTGACCTAAGTCCATATTGCAGACCCATGTGCAATGCTTGTCACCAAAAAAATACTGCATTGTACCGCTGCATGAAAAAGCACAAGCAGAACAGATCTGAGGAGGTTTCCTGTTGGAGCTGAGTGAACTGATAAAATTAGCCATATAAATAGAGATAAAAAAAGAGCATCACAGTTCATTATAGTCTCTGGCTTTATTAGTAACATCATCCTATACTTCAAAAATCCTTTACTGAAATTCCTTTTTCTTGTTTAGTCGTTAATAGAGCTAGTCCAAGAGCAAGCTTTAGCTAAAGAGGTGTCCCTGCTTTGGCAGCCCCCAGCCTTCTCCCTCACTCCTGCCAACACTGTGGGATAACCCCACAACTGGGTTATTTACCTTAAAACAGAGGGACGCCTTCCCTTCTGGTTCAGCTCCCCGGACTGAGGCACCGCCGGCTCGGGTGTTGGAAACAGGAGGCGTGCACGAGATTGCACATCGCCATGCAGGTCATCCTCAGTGAACCCGCAGGCTGACTGGTGTTTCTACTGAGCCTGAAGCTCTTCTGTGGAGCCTAATCTGTGTCCTAATTAGGCCCTCTGGGTATCTGCAAGCAAAACTCCTGAGGGGCAGATGCGGCTGGCTGAGCGGTTGGGCTTATTTGGCTGACAAAGCTCAGAAGGCAGAAGTAGGTAGCTGAGGGTTGGAGAAAGCAGGCAGTAGGAGTTTTTCCACCTCCACAGTGGCCAGTTATGTTTGACTAGAAAATCGGTTTGCAGTCGCAGGTGTGGAATATGACTTGCCCTGTGCTCTGGTGGAAGCTGCCGCCCTCAGCCAAGAGTCAGAAACTCTGCTGCACGTGGTGATTGCTTAGCAGCTGCCCAGTAATAAAATGTAATGTTTTAGCATCTCAGCTCCTTACAGTGTTACTTAAATGTACTGGTCCACTCATACAAAGTTCCTTCTGTAAGGGGCTTTACTATGACAACGTTAATTGTCGCCTCTTTTGTTTAGGATGCATAACTCGTAGGCTTGCCCGTTATTTCTCTATAAAGGCTCCTAAGCATTAGGGCTATTGTTGGAAAACTGGGATTTTCAAATCACTTTCTGAAATGTTTTTAATGGTTTATTTGCTCATCCCTAATGACTTCTCAGAGTTGTTGCAGCTTTTAGAGGTAGGGTCTGGCCCAGTTTTTAGAAGATCGTACAAACAAGAGAGAGCTTTTATGCAGTCTCCTTTCCCAGCTCCTTTAGTCAGATTAAAGTTTCCATTAAAGTCAACAGGCTATTTTTTTCCCCGCTAGGAGTACAGGGTCACGCCCTGTCTCTGCTGGCATAATGCAGGCACCGTTGACAAGACAGACTGTTTAATGGGTTCTTCTGAGTCATTATGGTCCATCAAGTCAAAACCTACTTAGGAATTTTACTCTGAGAATAATTGGCTGGATAGACTGTAATAGCTCCTTTGAAATGACTGCCAGGTAAATGTGGGTCTCATTCACTGGCGGTATATTCTCAAGCTGAAAATCTGTATGAAATATTTGATTAGTAAACTTTTATCTCATATGCTAAAATCCATATTTGATTGATTTTACTGTATGAGCTATAAAGAAAAGTCTAATCCCGTTACGGATTCAGAGCCGTCAGTGTATTTTCTTTAAAGCCAAGTTTTGTTTCTTTTCATTTGAAGAACATCTCAAAAATACATGCTTTTGGAAAGCATGTACTATTTTTGGATGCGCGTTGTTTAGAGAAGCAGCAAATGACTCATCAGCTTTTGAAGCACACATCTGCCTGACGATGCAGTAACAACGGGATGCTTTTTGGACAGCAGTTCAGTTAGATTAACCTGCCTACTGAAGTAACAGTCTTTCTAGTAGACCTATCTGAACGTGTGGTAGGAGCCTCAGCTGGACACCTCAGTCAATACTGCTGCATCTTGCCAGCTCAGCCCAAAGCTGGACAAGGTGTGTGGAACATAGTAACATTTAAAACATTTTTTTCTTATGTTCCGAGTTAAAAGTTTTTGTTTAAAGACCAGCAGAAAACACAGCATGGTACCAGGGCCTGAAGAAGCACAAGTGGAAATGAGCGGGCCAGCGTCCTCCTTGAGGCTGAGTGAACTGAGAAAAGAAGCCGCAGAAAAAGAGATGAAAGAATTTCACATTTTATTTTAGTCTATGACTTTAATAATGGCAGTGTTAACCCTTATTAAGATGACTTTAGTGTTTAAAAAGCAAAGCATACACTCTAACAGTGACCCTGAAATCAGGTCCAGATGCTGCAATGATCAGTAATAGAATTGGTAGTTTTAAACCTCAGACTGGTAGTTGTATTTCTTGTTTCAGGGCACCGTGTGGAAATCGGAAAGAAATTCTTCCCTTTCATGTGTGCGTGCTTACGAGAAGTTGTTAGCTGGGTTGACTAGTGAGTGGAGGGGTGCAAAGGAAAAGCATTTCAGAGCCCAGTGAATGTCAAGTACTTGCAGTTCTGAAGAAAACCACAAACTAATTGTCTTACTGTCCATATTCAGATCCCGAGGTGGATTCCCTTAATCTCATTAGAATGGATAGTCTCTTCCCAGTTTTGTGAGGAAAGGTGTCGTGCAAGGATTGCTGTATCATATTTTAATCTGAATCATATTTTACAGCAGTTTAAAAAGTCATCACTTAACAGCATGCCCCTTACACACGGTATCATTGAAAAGTGAAAAACCGAAAAGCTTAAAATATTTGTGCCAGGAGCCACTGAGTGAATATTCACATCCATGCAGAAGAGTGAAGCGTGCTGACGCTTTCATTTTTGCTCCTTATAGTGACACTGTGTGGATGAAACCAGGAGTACACGTACAGAATAATGTCAGTGAAATCCCAGTTAAAATAGTAATGCCTGCCAGTTGTACCTACCCTGGCTTCTTAAACCTGAACTAAAAAAAAAAGACACGCTGAGAGCAGTTCATTACCAGGTTTGTCAGAGGAGGCACGCACGGACAGACGAACGGACGTGTGAGCACCCCACGCACTGACGACAGGCACCCTCCGGGTTTGTGCCTTGCAGCTGACAGCCACAGGAGGGTCGGAGGGCATGTGCCCACCCGTGCAGGGTCTCTGATGTCTAACGGGATGTCACCTCTGCAGCTTTTCCTACTTTTGGGGTCACTGCAGGCTGTCTTGCCTCTGGCCTGTCACATACTCTCAGGAAGCATATAGGCACCTGATTGCCTCTAACACCTCTGTCAAATTAGAGTGAAATCAGCCAGCAGGTTTTTGTTGAGGAGACAACACTTAGGCAGACATGGGTACACGTACAGTGTAATCAAATAAGCTTTGTTTCCATAGAAAATGAGGCTAAAAACATAGATGCACAATTTGCTGCCCGACCATGCAGAGCAATAAATGCCATCAGCTTCTATCTGCCCATTGACAGATAAATTAAATGGTCTTCTTTAATTCGTCAGCAGAGCTGGAGGCACTTTGCAGCATTCCTGTCCTCCTGTTTCTATCTTTTCTTTCTGTAGCCTTATCCTTGTGCTAGTGTTCCTGCTCAACAAGGGATGCTGTCCCACACCATCCAAGTTGCCCATGTGCAGGAGGTGCTCGGTGATGCAGCTCCTCTGTGCACCAAATCCAAAACGTGAGGCCAGAACAGGCGGCCTTGCATCAGGTCTGTTGCCTGAACGCCCAGCCAGCCCTGCTGCTTGCATGGTGGTATCTTCATGTCTGCCTGACCTCTCCTCCAACTTAGAAACCATCAGCCAGTCTCAGCCATGTTTAACAAAGAGGGAAATTGCTCCAAAACGTTAAAGCATACTAAAAATGTTGTGAAAATAGGCAGATGGGTAAAGGAGAGAGATCTTACTCCTGCCCTCACTGAAGGAAATGCTCCTGAATGCGTGCCTGGCTAGATACAAGGTTAGAGACGCGGCACACCAGGCTCTGCTAGCTCACCTGGTCATGGGATGGATATAGGGAAGCCTGGGGAGGAGTAGGGACATACCGGAGCTGTTCACTGCAAGGTGCATGGACCACCGCTCATCCCAAATGCTTTGCAGTGCTCTGCAGGATCGAGCCCTTGATGGTGCAGGTGACATTCACGCCCCCAAGATTTACCATGCAATTCAGGAGTGCAATATGCAGCCGCTCCCAGATGCAAATTTGGGTGCCTGGGCAGGAACCGGAGTGCATTGTGTCAGCCACGGAGCAGACTTTGGCAAGCTGCAACCACACTCCAGCGTGCCCCTTTCGTAGGAGCTATCAGAGCTAAACCATGCCGTGCCTCACCTGCCTGCTTGTCTCTGAGCTCACATGCCACTCCCGTTTCTCCCAGAAAAAAATCTGGGGGTTGGGACTGACAATTCTTGTCATTCAACCTTTTGTACAGGTCTTCATCCTAACCTAGCTGTGCTTTTTTGCAATATTCTTATATCATTGCAGCTTAGAGTTAAAGGCCTTTACCCTAGCAAACCTTCCTGCTGCTGAATAATACAGGGAGCTTTCCCTGAAAGTGGATTACACCAAACAGGGTCTCTCAGAATCATCTACTGCTCTATTTTTACCTCGGCAACAGATGCTTACTGTTAATTTTGGAGGCACGAGGAAGACAAACAGGAATATGCCTAGCAGTCCTGACCAGAAAAATTAACTGTTTTCCCGCATACCTGAGTTGCATGCGAAAGCAGACAGGTGGCTAAAACTTTTGTCAGAGTTAGTTGGATGGAGACAGACCTCTTTTGAGTTAAAGGGTGGAAATGTAACGTGGTGCCTAGCATAAGGAAAGTTGTTCTATTTGCAGTACTGCAGAATGAAGAAAAAAATGATAATTGAAGAAAAATTTTGATGATGTGGTTCTCTTAGTAAATTGGGAACAATGACCCTTGAAGGACCATAAAGAAAGTGAATGTCAAGATAATTTATTATTGTTACATTATCTACCTCATTTTTCACTTTGTCTTACTGAGTTGTTATATCCCTTACAAGGTAATGCCCCAAACATTAATGAGCACCTTTTTATCTTTCATGGGTGTGAAAAAGCAACAAACAGCGTTGAAAAGGAGTATTTTCTACCGGATTTATGCATGCTTAATTGTTTTGACGCCAAAAATGAAGTATTAATTTGATGTAGAGCGTGTATTTGATTAGCAAAGCAGTCTCTAGGGTAGCTGTAAGCCTGTGAAGCTCCTGGACGCTTCTGTCTGAAGTAGTGTTTGAAGGAGATGCTAACCTAGTTGAGGGAGTTGGCTGGAGAGGGAAAAACCATGGTTGACGTGCCTAATTGGTTTGCTGTTGGCTTCTTTTGTTTTGTCCTGCCCTGTCCTCCAGGAGAGCCAGTTTCTACGCCTGCCGCCTTGACAAGAACTTGTATGTAATTGGTGGAAGAAATGAAACTGGCTACTTGTCCAGCGTGGAATGCTACAATCTGGAGACAAACGAGTGGCGTTATGTGTCTTCGTTGCCGCAACCTTTGGCGGCCCACGCAGGAGCCGTTCACAATGGCAAGATATATATTTCAGGCCAGTCTCTTTTATAATTCCTGCTACGTAACAAAAAAACCAACCCAAAACAACAACAATAAAAACCCAGACGCCAAAACTGTAGAGCTAAATTCCTACTGCAGCGCAGTATCTTTATTTACATTGATTAACAGAAGTGTATTTACTTTGCAGGAGGTGTTCACAATGGAGAATATGTCCCCTGGCTGTACTGCTATGACCCCGTGATGGACGTCTGGGCCCGAAAACAGGACATGAACACAAAGCGAGCAATCCACACTTTGGCTGTAATGAATGATCGACTGTATGCAATTGGAGGAAACCATTTGAAAGGTCACATTTTTAATAGCGAAAAAGCATTTCAGTGTCCCCCGTCTCCTGATAAAGAATATTTTTGTTAGACAGTCATTGTTAAATACATTAAAAAACAGGCAACACAATTTAACAGGACACTTGAGCCAGCAATTTTAAAAACATTTTATGCAAATTATTTTAAAATTATAACAGTACATTAAATATATGAGTAATGAATGCTTTAGATAATAAAAATGGGAGCTTCCATTACTCAAAGGCATGGACAATTTGTCATTACCAAGAATTCAATGAAACAAACAGATTATTCTTTGACCCGAAAGTACCAGCAATATTTTCCTCTGTAAATCATTTTCCAAAATGTGCAGTTAGAGAGAGCTTTATTCAGAGCAATGCACAAAAACAAGCTCCTGATTTAATGAAGAAAAAAAAAAACTCAAGCCGTTAAATATTAGGACTAGGCTCTTTAGATCCCTTTTTAGTATTAAATGTAGCTCGTTAATTATAATTCCTTTTTAGAGGACTCTTGTTTTCATCTTTTGAAAAGGTCTCATATTAAAATAACTACTGCTTAGGCATCTGGTATTTTTGTCTTAATACCTACATGCTGTTGCTATTACCGCTAAAGAGATTCTGCTTAATCCAGCCACTTAGACAAAAAGCACAGCTCCTGCTCCTTTGTCCCCTGACAATATTTGACAGTTTATATTCCTTTTTTTTCTTTCTCCTTTCTTGCTTAAAAAAAAAGAAAAAACAGCTCACAACAACAAAAAAGAAAATTGTAATGCTAAAGAAAAAGTGATGTTAACTGCCAGTAACACCAGGCCGTGTGCCTGAATGACTCTGGCACCCAAGTCCCTGTCAGGCTTTGAAGCCACGTGTTGCTTTTGAAGATCTGAATGCCTGTGGAGCATGTAGGGGACAAAGTCTCATGTGAATTTTCCCAGGTAAATTGTACTGGAGCATAAACCCCTGCAGCCAGTGGCAGGGTGGCTGTGCCTCCGCTCCCCATCCCCAGCTGTGATGGGTGCTCCTGGACTGGACTTTACAGGGTGAAGGTGGTAAAAGCTGCCTGCGCACATGCACCTGCAAATTTTGGAGCGGTTGCAGAGCTCTGCAGCATTGGCTTTTTCTCCTACTAAAGTTAAGTCAACATGTCGCACCCCTCCTATACCTAAAGTACGTGCTTTGGTTTGCATAGGCTCGAATTGCTTCCATCCTGCCTTCTCCTTCTTTTTTTCACCCTGTTTCACCTACCATCCTCTGGGAAGAAGGAACTTCTAATAAACATTGCATTTTTGCCTCTACAACTGTTGCCCTAGGTGCCTTTTTTATGTATGAATTGCCTGCTGTTGTGAGAGGTATTTAACATCCAGGCTTCTGGAAAGCCGCCGGCTGTCTGGGAGAAGGGATTTTTGGAAAACTGGTTTCTTCTGTACAGTGAAACGACAGGAGGAACTGCAAGGAAAGGGAGGAGGGAGGGGACTGACGTACAGATGAAATGCTACAAATCCTCCACCGGGGGTGGAATAGCAGGGCTCCAAGGCAAAAGCCCTCCTTTGTGAAGCTGAGTCTGTATACTAGTGTCAGCAGCGCATTTATCGCATCACAGCTAGGCATGTGCATACTGCGGTTTATTATGGAGCTTCTGACAGATTCGGGGTGCACTGTGGTGGCCTTTCTATGGCCCCTTGAAAACTTTACAGCAACGAAAAATTATTTCATCACAGCTATTCATTCCTGACATAAATAATACTAGTACGAGCAGCATCATTGTGAAGTACCCATATCACCAAATGCCCTTTTCCAGAAAACCTTAACTTCTCTTTTCTATCATACCTTGGTGCAAAAGACAGTAGTGTCAAGTAAAGCATCCCAGCATCTTACGAAAGCCATATTTTTACTGTGGTGCTCTGATAAAGAATGTAGTTTGAGATAGGGAAATGTCTAAATATAGGAGCAGGGACCAGGACTCCTGGGTTCTATGTTCTGTGTTCAGCTCATGTAATTGATACAGCTTGAGAGTCTTGAGCTGAGACCCATCTGCCCCTTGCTGATGACAAAGGAGCAGTCGCATGGAGCCTTTTTTTGTCTGTCAAGGAAGGATGGGACCACCATTATTTTTTTTTTGTTAGATTTTTCTGTCACATTAAAGACCTTGACACATCACATGCTTAGGGTACACCTTAAATCAGCTTGAAAATTGAAACTGGCCTTGAACGTCACGTCCATCATGCTAAGCACCTTGTCCCTCTGGAACAAAGTGGCATCAGTTGTCTAAGCACTCTACCTTGACTCCTTTGGGCATTGATTTCTGAGTGAAATTTGATCTGTTGACTTTTGAATAGATTAGATCTGATGACCTTTGAGAAAGACTGCCAGGACAGGCTTTTCCTACATGTTCAAACTCACATTAGCACTAATAGATGAGGAGGAATATTGCTTGAACCTGCTTTCATCATTGATAGGTTATTACTGAGTGTTACTTTCTGATTTGTTCAGGTTTTATAGGTACTTCAGATTTGTAGAAGACTGTGGAACTAATGGTAAAAGCTTTCAACAGGTTTATTTGAACTGAAATAATGAGACTAACATTACAGAAGGTGGCTTATATGTATATGGCAATATTTTCTAGAAGAAAGTTTAACAATGATGTTACAATTGTAATTATATAATTAGAACTGTGATTTAATAAATTTAACAGTAAAACAAATAGCAAAGCAGTGTGTCATAACACATGTTCTCTTTTCTCCGTGCCCTCATCCAGGTTTCTCTCATCTCGATGTTATGCTTGTGGAATGCTATGATCCAAAAGGTGACCAGTGGAATATCCTCCAGACCCCCATTCTGGAGGGTCGCAGCGGCCCTGGCTGTGCAGTCCTTGATGACAGTATTTACCTTGTAGGAGGCTACAGCTGGAGCATGGTGTGTACCTGCTTTCTGCAATCACCCTTCCATTCTTTCTGAGCTCTTGTGGCCAGTCTGTGTAGTACTCAGATGGGATGGAGAGGAGACACTGCAGGGGTCTGGTTTTGGTTTGGTTTTCAACTTGAGAACATGGAAGTGTTTGTTTGCCTTTGTGCTTTTCTATTTAAATGAATTATTATCAGCCTGTATTCACTGATATGGAGTAATAAAAAAATCAGGTGAAATTTGGCAGAAGTGATTGACGGGACTGTATGCTTACAGCTCTGCTTATAGGGCGCTTGTAAAGGATCCTGATTTGCACAGGCTGGGTGCTCAGCCCATATGAAAACCAAACCTCTTGAAGTGCTCCTAAATTAGGGCTCAAGACCATGAGTCGCTTTCGAACATCTTTAAAGCTGATGTGTGACTTGGATTTTACCAAAGCCACATTTAATATGACTTCTTTTTCTGTTACAGGGAGCCTACAAATCTTCTACTATTTGCTATAGTCCTGAGAAAGGAACTTGGACAGAACTAGAAGGAGATGTTGCTGAGCCACTTGCAGGACCTGCCTGTTCGACTGTCATACTGCCAGCCTGCGTACCATACAACAAATGATAGTCAAGGAGCACTGACACGAACACTGATTGCATTTGGGAAAATAATGACGGGTGACGTAAATATTTTATTAGAACAGGATTCCTGTTAAAACAAAGCTACCATAATTGACCCCTTATTCCATATTTGTGCTTTAGGAGCAAACTAAAAGAAAAAAAACAAGTGTTGTCCCAGCTCAGATAGATGCCGGTGTCTTATGAAGCAAGTAGCTAAAACACACCGAACATTACATGCTGACAGACTGCCATTTCAGACTGATTTTAACTTTTTCCTGCTGCAGAGATATTCCTCACGTCAAATTTAACTTAAAAAAAAAAAATGAAGGCTAAATGTTCAAATACAGCCTGAAGAGACAAGATCAGTATTGTGCATTGTATCTACCTGCATGTGATCTGTGTTGAAGTCATGAGGATGTTGTTTTCATGAATGCTTCAGAATTCAGACAGTGAAAAGCTCACACTGCATTGCAGAATTGTCTCCTCTGTAATCCTAACCTACAGCTACTTCACATGCTCTGCAAGCAACACAGCATCAGAAGATTATAAAAGGTAAAAAAAAATCATTCAGTTTTTGCACAGCTTGGCAACTAATACACTCTGCCTTCAAAGTCCCCACGTGTAAGTGCAGCAGAAAGCAGACTACAATGAAAGCCATGCTTTACAGAGCACTTCTTGCAATAGCAGCTTAGGGATTAGGATCAAATTCTTCTAATCACACTTGTGTAAAGTCAGAGTCATTTCACTGAAATCACATGGAATGACTGGTTTTACATTAGTATAACAGAAATTTGGTCCTACACCTTAAATTCTGGGTTCGTAAAGTAAGTTATTTCTATGACCACTTAACAAAGCCCCAGAACCCTTCCTTACTTTTCACTAACCTGTTAGATCAGAGCATCCATGCTAGTTGCTTCCAAAGACAAGAAGACTGCATTTAATTATGATTGTATTACTTTGGACTCTTAAATGATTATGCACAATTTTGGAGAGACACTGGTAAGTAGTTGAAATATTCCCATGTGGTTGATCTTAAAACATACTCTGAAAGATTTTTACTATTGATCCAAAGTAATATGAGGCTAGACTTTCTACTGCCTTATAGCTTGTGTAATTATTTACACACTGCAAAATGAGTTCAGAATGCTGCCACGTGGGACCAGTAGCATTTAGGACTGACTTCATGAACCCATAGCTGCTTGCACAAATCAGGCTGTCCATGTTTTAAGCTTACATCTTTCTGTCCTGGCTTTGCGAAAGCAGTGGCAAAATCTGAGCCTGATTCTTCACCACCTTGCAGTTAACATAATCATCTACACCTCAGCAAAGTCTGCGCATAGTTCTTCCATTGTGGTTTACTCGTGCTGCATCTATTACGCTCAGGACCATCCTCTTCGCTGGTATAAACTGACATTGCTCCGTTGAAGCCCATGGATGTAATTTGGTTTATGTCAGCTAAGAATCTGGCCTTTAATTTGCCTAGTTGTAACTGGCTGCACCAGATAAAAGGCAAAGGAGTCTCAGATCCTGCGTTTTCAAGCCTGCACATATCTTTCACAATAGGACTTAATGCTAGTGCGTTAAGCAAGGAGCAGGCAACTAGTGGAGGTTGGTTTCTGCTGCAGAGGCAATAGATGGGAGGAAGAATTCATTATTTGCTTTGCAGAATAGAAAGAGGGCGAATGTACACAGAAATTACACTATATATCGAAGCTTGAGAGCAATATAAATAATGGAGAGCAAATACCATGGGACTGTTTCTCTCTGGCATCAGTCCAGTTTTATTGCAGTGCAACTCCCTTTCTTGCAGCAGAATTACACAGTTGTAAAATTGGAGTAATGCAGTAAAGACTGATACCATACAAATGCAATAACCCAACTGATGAGGTAGCTGCACGCCTGGAAAAAAATTGTTTAAACAAAATAATTATCTGAAGATGCTGATATTTGAATGTGCCGTTGGGGAGTTTTCCAGTGAGCATCACTAAGGAACTCATAAAGGTGGAGTGTATATCCTGAAATCTCAATCCATTTCTACTATATAGTGCAATCTTAGTTGGTTTTCTATTTATTTATATTGTTCAGATCCAAGGGATCCCTTGTAAAATATATTTGGTGCAATCATGACTTTTTTTTTTCCTTTCCTGTTGAAAGTATATAAATATAAATATATATAAAAAGGAAACTGTTAAGATACTAAATGAGGAAACCTTGAATGACATTTAAGATCAGGATAAGGTCTGCCATTAAAACACTGACTGTCACCTGTCTCTACTAAAACGTACCATTTTTAAAGGATATTTGTTGTCCTTTTAAGTGGTCCTTTTTTTTACCAAGATAATTTAAAGATTTATGAGGACTGTATGTAAATCTTTCTATCTTTCAGGAAGGCATGACCAAGGAAAGTGCTAACTGAATAAGTCACACAAAGAATGTAAATTTTGTACAGTACTGGACTGTGTAAATGAAGCTTGCTTGTAGGGGGGAAACTTTAAATAAAACTTTATGTACTAATTCAACCGTCTGCCATATTCCTACTTATAAAGTGTATGTATAAATAATATCTACATTAAATTCTTTGGAACTTTTTTTATCATGTAGATGCGTAACCTTCTTTTATTTTGTGGCCGTACGTAGCCGCTGCGTTGTTCTCCAAGTGTCATTACTCGGAGCTTGTGGACGCGGCGAGGCAGCAGGTTGCAGTGGCTCAGAGCCTTCCCCTGCGTGCAGGTGCCTGGCCCGTGCTTCCAGCAGGGAAAGCCCCACCTGCCTGCCCGCGGGCAGGCTCGGACCTCGGAAGCCTACCAATGCAATCGGGAAATGCCTCTGCCTCGCGCTCCTCGGCCCCGTTCCTCCGTCCCGTGGTCAGGTAAGTGAAAAGGACACCGCCCGCTTAAATGCAGTCTTGCTTTGGGGTATTTAATGTTAGTTGTGGCGATTTCTTCCCTCTTCAAGATGTCCCTCCTGTGGTGGTTGACCCTTCTGCCTATGAGTATTTCTGTTCTTGGAGGGGAAGTGCTGGCCCGGGGTCAGCAGTAGCGGAGCTGGGGCAAGAAGTGTTGCCAGGCTGAGAAGACAAGGTAAAGGCAGGGGATTTACCAGGAACCAGAATCATTATCAATGCCAGGTACAATACTACATGTAGTATTTATTCATGCCTACCAACCTGTGTCATGGCCCAGAACCTTCCTATGCAAACCAAGTGGGTGCACTGAGCAAACAAAAAGGCAGTCCCTGCCCCCCGTGCTTACAGCAAGCGTGAGCCGTGCTGGGCGGTGGCTGAGAATGCAGTGAAAGAGCCTGGTTTAACGAGAGGGGGTCAGTCCTGTTCAAGTCTTTTATAAGGATGGAAAAGGCAAGCCAGCAGCAACTATGGTAAGATAGCGCAATGAATAGGACTGTTTCATTAATGTGTTTATTTCAGAAGAGAAAGGAAGGAGATATTTATGCATATTTTTTAAAGTAATGCGGGAGAAGGAAGAGGAGAAGCTGGAAGCAGTGGGCAGAGATAGGATTTAGAAAGGAAGGGAATGAAGCGAGAAAGAAGAGGTAAGAATGAAAGGAAAAAATAGAAAATGAGAGCCTGCAAGAGGAGAAAGCGGGAAGTTCTTGTGGATCAAGGGCACAGAGAAAGTAAGGGCTGGAATAATGAGGAAGGCAAAGATGCTTTCTGAGAAGCACACATCAGAGCAAGCCTGGAAAGAAATGACAGGAGAGGCGGTACAAAAAGCAGAAGAGAAACACGAAAAAATGCAATAAAAGAGGACATGAAATAAACATGAAACTAAATAAGCACTTGGTGATGGTGCGGCTCCTATTTTCTCCAGCTAATCCTTTACAGTGGTCTAGCTGTCAAGCAGAAGGATCAAATCAGCAGAGTACTTAGGTGCTGCAGTGTTCAAGCTTTCAACACAGGGACTTCGGCACAACAGAAATCGTGAGAGAGATGCCCAGCAGCACCTCTCTGCGGTGCCGGGGCTGGCACCCAACTACAGCCAGGGCCGCTGGCAAGGGAGGAGAGCTGCCGGTGGTGGGGAGAAGCAGAGGAAAGCAGATGTGTCGCAAGTCCTGGTCCCCACTGGGCTGGAGGGAAGCGTCTTCCCCATTTCCAATTCGTGGAGGAGAGTCGTCTTCGGAAGTTAGGACACCTGGACTGTTCCTCCATTCTTCTCCATTGTCCTTCCTGCCAAACATTAATCTTCTCCTTTTTTTTCTCAGCATGACAAACTTGCCTAGGTACTTTTGCGGAGCTGGGCACGGAACACAGCAGACCAGCGAATGGGGCGATTTCCCTGGTCCTGAGCTGTGGTCCCATCCACTGCCCGAGAAGCGTGAGCAGGCTGGGTTGCTGCTGACTTGCAGCCCATATGCATGCCCTTAAGGGCGGCAAAGATGGCATTTCAGAAATAGGCTTTTCACTGATTATAGCACTGTCTTTGAAGGTGCTGTGAGCCCACCTCCCAAAAGTTGGCATTGCTTTCCTTCACATGTTTGTGCCCCTTCCCACTTTTAATACAATGATCACTCTGCCAGCTGCATCTGTGAGCCAATTTCTGAGAAAAACCTATGCCAAACCTCATTATATGTACCGGTTGGTATTGTATTATACTCACGCACCAATATAGCACTCTAAGTTCTCTTGCCTTTAAGGGACAGCCCATGTTTCAATTTAAGTGGAGCTTTTCGGGTATATAGAAAGGAGACAGAAATCCCGAACACTGCTAAAGAGGCCAAGACGATAGTTGCCAACATACAGGCTCCTGAGCAGTTTAAGATGCACGCTCCCATTTCTGTTGTTAGTGGGGCGGCAGAAAAGAGTCGGTGTTTCAGCCTCTCCAGCGCAGACCATGGAAGCAGCGGCGGCAGCGCTGGAGGTCAGAGTGGTTAGCGGGAAGGGAAAGTACACTAATGAATTCTGGAGGGCTTGTAATGCCATAAAAGATTCAGTTAATCTGCAGCATAGATGTTGATCAGCGAAACTGAACCCAGCTCTCTGGACCTTGT